GGCCGTTTTCCCACAGCCCGCCGAGTCGCACCTCCGCTCCCAGCCGCGGCTGCCGGTGCCCGGGGGTTGGTGCTCCCGGCGGCGGCGGGACACGGGCAGGGCGGCGCTAGCGGGAGCCGGCGGGGCTCAGCGAGCGGAGAACGTCAGCCAGGAGCGGGGAGGCGGTCTGCGTAACGCCTGCCTGACACCGGCTGTGCTGGGCAGCCAGGAGGGAGCTGCAGACACCGGCGGGCTCTGCCTCGCTCAAGTCTAAGAGGAACGGAGAAGCACGGCCACGATGCGGGAGCTGCGAGCGCCAGCTCACCGGCGGGGCTGGAGGTGCTCGGGGGGGGTTCTGTGCCACCACGGCCATCCCAGGCAGCGGCAAGCAAATCTCAGCAGCTGAAGCCCGGCAGTTTCTCGGCCCTCTTCCTCCGCCTGCACCGCCCCTAGGCCCCAGGAGAGGACGTGTCCTCTCCTCTTTCGTACCTCCAGCTGGAAACGCATTCCCGAGTTTAAACTAACATCCCCGCGGGAGAGTAACACCAACCAGCTGAGCGCTGGGGCGGGAGGCGGCCGAGCTGGGGGTGAGCTATTTTCTCCAGCCCAAGACGCGGCACCTGATAAGCCCCGACAGGCAAAACACCCCAGGAAATACCCCCTGCCTCTCCCACCCCGGCCAGGTGCCCCCACCAGCTCTTCCCAGTCTGCAGGTGGGATGCCAGACTCGGTCCCCATTGCTTAAAGGCAACCGGGGATAGGCATCTGCTTTCCAAGGGAAAACCTGTAAGCAACGACAACCATTTTCCACACCACCTGCCTTCTAAGTGTGAGACAGAAAACGTTTTGCAACTTTCCCCAAAGTGTTTCGCACCGAGCAATGTGCGCTACCATTTTTAGAGGTCAAAATTTCAGCAGTTGGCACGCTCTGAATATCGCTGTGATGTAACCTGTCTGACGGGACACATCCCTTGGAATGATTCAGCCCAAACATCATGCTTCATAAGCACTGGACAAGATATTCTTGCAGTTTTAGTTATGCACCGGGCTTGAGGCTGCCTTTGCACATCAAAGCCAGCCCCACTGTCTTCATCTCATCTTACACCTCTAGACAGAGGGGGTGTTTGTTGCTACATTTTGTTTCTCTGGGTGGATATCAACAGCAAATGCTACAAAACAAACAGCTGCTCACATGAAAGGCTTTCTGCTCCAGACCTGCGCTTTGAAGCTTGCTTGTGAGCAGACCCCTGTTTCGGCTTCCCCACCGCACTTCTCAGGCCAACCAAGACACAACCACCACTGGCGTGCCCCTGCCCCTGCCTCACAGCCCCCCCGCTGCTGACGGACTTCAGCCTAGTTTGGGGGATTTGTCTGTACCACCTCCCCCCGTGGGGAAAGTTCACACGGGGAGCAGCAGGACAGTTCAAGCCCCAAGAACGTGGGTTTTCCTGATGAGACCCTTGCACCTAAGGGACCCCAAAAGCTTCACAAGCTAAAAACGCTCCTGACTCCCCTCACCAGCTCACTATTGACCTGTCACTGCGGCCACCCAGCCCTCTCCCACCGAGGCTGGTACCTCACAGAAAACAGGCCCGAGGCCCACAGAGGGGGCCTTCCCCACCGGGGTGGGGGCGGCCTAACCTACCCCGACCAGTCCTCACCAAGAGAGGCCGGGGCCTGGCCGGGACCCGTGGGGCCGCGTCCCGCTTCCCACTGACCTCCAGATAGCGCAGGTCCCGCGCCGTCACCTGCGACCCCAGGTACTCCTCGTAGGTGCGGAACGGCGGCGGCGGGGGGGGATCGGCCGCCGCCATG